TATAACGAGATTTGCCAAGAGTCTTAATATTATTAAACATTAGTTGAATAAAAAAACCTTTGCTACGAAACTAAAGAAAAATGCGAAATTATCTTCTTGTATAGAATTTTTACGTTTTCTATACTAAATCGTAAATAATTAAGGTTTAATAAAGTTTTACATTGAACAATATAGGTATTTTGTGAAAGAAAAACACAAAGTAATATCGGTCTTTAGTTTTAGTTAGCTATATTTTTTTAGAATTTGAATGCAGCCTCTGAAGCACATTTGGTATAATTTACAACATTACTTTTTGTGAGGAATTACATATTAGCAACAGAAAATGCTTGCTATTTTTTTCTTCAATTATTTTTAAATTTAAGTCAGAGAAAATTTCTTTAGCTAGAAAAAATGTGTTGTAAAATTTTCAGTTCTTTAGTTCAAAAATTGATTGGTTTTTAGTAAATTAAATGAAAATCAACCTATTTTAAATAAATCGCATTACATACAGGGCGAACCATAAATAAATCAGTTTTCAATAATTCAAATATTTACGGAGATATTCATATTCCTTTAAAAAGGTAAATTTTGCCAAGTTATGTGTCGGGAAAATTATTTGGAATAAGATCTCAATCTTTTAGTTTCTGATGTAAGTTAAATCTAATTCTAATTCGCCGTGACGGATTCTAGTCATAAAAAAATAGTAACTGGTTTTAAAAGTGATTTAAAATCAAATTATGCATTTTTCTTAACACAAATTTTAACTTCACGATAAAAAGCCCTAAATAACTGATAAATGCAGCAAATTAAATACTATCATAAAGTTCAAAACAGCACTACTTCAAAAGCAAAAATGTTAAATTAGTCAAAAAATATATTTAACAAATGAACGCTTACTTAATTATTGAAAAATAAGGTACAGGTTAGTTGCAACAAATACGTGTAATGAACGATCTGTCAAACTAATGTTGTCAATTGACATAATCTTGCCATCCACATATATACAACTTTTACTCATAGACCACTCCAAGCGATTAATTTAGAATAGGAAATTGACAGCTAAAAATACAAAAATTAACACTTCATTGGTTTTCACCTCCAACTATAGCAAATTAAAAATGTATTTAAAATATTTGTATGTATTACAGTTGACAGTTTGGCGTATTTGTGACGACTTGTTATTGTCGCAATCGGTGTTTTCCTTTTAAAAGCCTTAATTAATATTTTTGACAAATTCATGCATTTAGGGGCTCCTAAGTTCTTAATTATAGTAAATACCAATCTTCTAACACAAATTTGGTTTTGGCGTACGTATCCCTTAGTACAAACTCAATATTATATAGGGTGTTTCACTTTTTATCTTAATATCTTTCGGAATCACAGAAATATTAAAAATAATTTAAGTTTTGTAAACTATAACTCCGAAAGCTTGCGTTTTCGAGATATAAGGTGACAAATTTGAATTGAAATTTGAGTTTTTTTTTTTTGTTGTTTTTTTTATATCTCGAGTGCGAATTGTTTATTATATTTCTTAGTTTATTATAATCTTAGCTGTTATTTAATGCTAGAATGGTAACAGTAATTACATTGAGTAGGTATAACTTTTTTAAGCTAAAAAATAAATAAATGTATTTAAAAAATAGTTTAGTGGTGTGGATAGCAATGGCAGAGTGGAGGATGTCAAAAGGTAAATCTACTTTTATATATCCTGTTTTCGGTGACTGTGTACTGAGAGATAATTTTTTATGTTTATTTTCAAATCATCAGCGAGTTGAAACAGTTGTACAAACAACCGAATACTCGTAATTGTTTTAATTTTCAATTTCCATCAAAAGGACTGTGGATTGTTATGGATGTAGAATTGTTCAACTGAATCGATTTTGTTAATTTGTGTATTCCCTGCACTAATAAAAGCCACTCATCTATTTAATCAAAACCGGTTTTAAATTGCGTTTTGTATCGAGAGTGCCATGCTATTACTCGTCGACCAATCAGCTGGATTTCCAGCGATAAAAAAGGCTTTGCTTTATTACGTGTGCAATCTGCAGTACCTGCCATTGCCAATTACTACGGATTGTTTAAAATAAATACAATAACGACGCGCAATTAGGTTTAATACTTTGGCATTCTATATAGGTACTGCTAATGGACCTTTGATAATTCAATGTATTTTTTTATACTCACACGCGAAAGTGACGATTTTATCACTAAACAAATTAAATTTGCATGAACCTTCTTATGAATTTCAACGGCATGTGTTTTGTACTTAAAAATTAAAAAAAACAACTAAAATAAAAACGTTTCGTGTCATATGCGCTACACTGTTGATTGGGATACTCGAGGCATTTGTCCAAAAATTTGCCTTTTATTTAATGAGGATTATCTTCCACAATATTTAAAATTAGTTGCAAACGATTGCGACCTTCATTTCTTTCACGATTCACTTGCAAATTTAGCAGCATTTAACTCATGTCTACCCGGAAAAAGTTTTACATTTCAGTGAGGAGCTGCTAATGCATTTTGTCGCGCTTCGCCATAAATTAAAACAATATTAACTATGCATGTCCTTACACATAGGCCATTTTGAACAGTTTTAAGGCTGATGTAAACAATAAACCACGATAATAGGAGTACTATGAAGACCACAGTAACACTGAATAAATAGGTATTTGTTAAGACATATCGGCTGAAACTACCTGCAGCTGTACACGTAGTGTTTAAAATATAACAATTTCAATTTTTCTCGAAATGTCACTATTTTATCACATCTTTTTTGTAGGCATTGATTACCTATATTTGTAAACATGCACATATTCCGGAAGTGGTCTGTTCAGAAAATAAAATAATTTTTTGAATTACCTCTTGATATGCGGTTGGTAGCATTGCGTTGCGTTTAACCGCCTCTGTAACTACATGTTCTTGGATTGTTGATATCTCATTTGGTTCAATAAATAAGCTGACAAGCTAGCTAGGGCCGTACTATATTTGGACCCAGTCCCTCCCGGTGCTCTCGCTCACAGTCAGCACTTTTTCAAATGATTAAGGAAAACACCCACAAAGAGTTTAGAACACGGTGAGATGATATAAGCAGCTGTCAATTTGCTAAGGAGTTCTTAGGATACCCCCAGCAAGGACACAGCCAAAAAATACCTGGCTATGTCCAGGGTAAGCCTAGTGATGGGTATTCAGACCGGACACTGGCTGGCTAAGGAAATACCTCTACAATATGAGGAAGTGCGAAACACCTCTCTGGAGAGGTTGTGAGCTGGAAGACGAGACAGTTTTCCACGTACTCTGCGAGTGTACTGGTGTCTCGTCAACGAGAAAATCAGTGCTAGGAGAACGGTGGCTTTCTATGGCCTACATTAGAGCAACGTCCGCCTGAGCAACGTATTCACCTTTTTTTCCTTGATAGGCTGGTTGACGGCTCAGGAGAGCTGATCTCCCAAATGCTGTAGCTCGGTATACCTACTGAGCTACCCTCCAAACCATTCCAAATTCCAGATTTTATTTGGTTTCCCTGTTATTGTTATCTGAATGCAACGTGTTTAAGTGTTAGTGACGATTCTCGAAATGTGGGATTTTCTGGAACAACGATGCAACGTAAAACTTTGCGTGTAACTGGGACTGAGAAAATTTTCACGGAAACGTTTCAACTTTTGAAACAAGCTTACGGAGATGATGATCTGGGTCGTACGCAATGATACGAATGGTTTTCACGGTTTAAAAGTTGTCGTCAGTCAACTGAAGATGGCCTTCCAATTGCAGAAGAGATTAGCATCCCAATTGGGTCACGTCATGAAATTTTGACTGAAAAATCGAGCGGCAGTAAAATTTGTTCCTCGTTTGATGACCGAATAACAGAAAAAAACAATGTGGACTTTTGTCGGCAACTCCTTGAACAAATACAATGACGATGAAACATTCATTCAAAGGATCATAACGGGAGATGAAACCTGGGTTAACGGCTACGACATTGACAAAGAAGTTCAATCATCACAATGGACTGGCAAAGGATCTCCACGTCCCAAGAAAGCACGTCAGTCTCGATCCAATGGCAACGTGATGCTCACTGTTGAAACAGCGAACCGTGTGTCTATCTAGGCACAAAAAGAGATCAGAGATGATGCGAGACAACTCATGGTTCTTGTACTGTCCTCCCTCTCACCCTCTTTATTCGCCAGACCTTGCGATTTTTTCTTTTATTTACGAAATTAAAATCAGTGGTGAAAAGACACTGTTTTTAGAATACTGATGACGTCAATGCAAATTTATCACAGACTTTGAAGGCCATTTCAAATGAAGCTATCCAGGACTGCTTTAAGAAATGGAAACACCGCTGGGAAAAGTGTGTGGATAGGGCAGGGGAGTACTTTGAGGAAGACAAGGACCAATAATGTATAAAATTAATAATAAAGCTTAAAAAAATTCAGTTATTTTCTGAACAGACCTCGTATACGAGGAAAAAAAATTATATTTCGTACTCGAATCACATTTTTTACTATCTTCCAAACTTATGATACTAATTTTTGGAGCTCATTATTATTTTTTTAATTTTAATAAGATTAAAAGTACTTTTTAGTATAGAATAATTTTTAAAATATGTTATAAATATTAATACCTACATTTTTTAATTAATGATTTATGCATTGCTTTTAAATGTCAACTACCTATCAGACAAAATTAGACGGTTCCCAAATGTTAATTTCGGTTACTCACCTACGACCTCAAGTAAATGAATTCACCTTTACTCGTTCCATGTATTGACTCATTTTTTAACAGCGATGCCGAAGCTTATTTATTTCCTAGTGTTTTGCAATCACTTCCATAGATAAATATTAATCACTTTGAGAAATCTACTATTCGAAATACAAAAATTACAATAACAATTCTAGCACTAGGAAACAAAAGACTATCGACAACACTGTTATATATTAATTTTATTCATTTTTAAAATGCATGAACAATTTTATTATTCAGGAATATGAATAAGATTCAAATTCCAATTTTTTACCAACTCGTACAAGTGTTAGACGGTAAGAAGTGCATTTGGCAGAAAAATGAAGCACTTTGTTTTGATTTTAGTGTGTTGTCTTGTTGCCGTTGGCGCATATGTTGAGACCATCCTGGTGTCTAACAACCACAATCCAGGTGAATGTATTATTTTTAATATTTCCATATGTGAGCCATTATAAATTGTAGAGGTATTAAAGAATGACGTTTTCCGTGAAAATCGCATACTTAACTTCAAAATTAATATTCTGCTAATAATAACACCGGCACACAAAAAAGGGGTATGTACGTTTGATTTTACCCAATAGGCTTTGTGTATTTTGACGCGCCGAAGCCGAATTTGAAGTTCGTTTAGCTCAAACACCCCCAAAATTTTGAGTAATTGGTAAAAAATAGTGAAAAATCGCCGAAAATCACGTTAGTGAGCACAAAAAAAAATTCTAAAAATTTTGTTGTGAACTTGATCAAGTGGGTTTCTAATGTATTTTGATGTGCTGAATCCAAATCTGAACTCTTTTAAGCTTCATCCCCTCCAAATTTTGCAACAATCGCAAAATAATAGCGTAAAATCACCAAAAATCACGTTAGTGTGTTTCTTATGTATTTTGATATGCTGAATTAGAGTCTAGTCTATTAGTTGCAACCCTCACAGATTTTGAAAAAAAATAGTTGAAAATGTCAAAAAAATCATATTAATGAGTGAGAAAATTTAGAAAGAGATTTTCCAGATGGAAGTGTTCTTCTCGTAAATTTTGTCGAGTCTAATTTGAATCTAAAGTCTATTGAGTCGATTATTTTGCAAAAATCACAATATATCGCAAAAAAATGAAAATAAAAAATCTCTAAATATGCCCCATTAAAAAATGCACCCCATGTAATTTGGATTTTTAACAAATTACATAGGTCAACAAGGATTGGGGTTTGTGGGTTTAGGGATTGTGGGTTTGGGGTTTGTGGGTTTGTGGATTTGGAGTTTGTGAGTTTGAGTTCGTATGTATTGAAGGTTTCTGAGTATGAAGTTTCTGAACTGCAATCAACTGTTTGACGTCTAAGGTATCCTTAGTAGATTTTCGCATATTAAGAAACTGATAAACTTAAACATTTCAACATGTGATTTCTCAACGAAAAAAAAAGATATTTGAGTAAACTCAACGGCATTCGAAAGAGCCTTGTACTTTTAAATTATTTTTTTTTTTTAAGAATAGATGGGATTACTACATAACCTCAAATATGACGAAAAACAGTATTTTTTGCACTTTTAGGTTAGGATATCTCAAAAACCTGATGTGATAGAGCAATTCTGCGGCCAGATTCGGATTCAGCGCACCAAAATCCTTTGGGAATGCATATTAGCGTGTCTGCTTTTTGACCCTTGTTGACCTATGTTATTATTCATTATTACACTAACGTTTAGTTTAGTTCCTAAACCAACTTTCTGTTGGAGCAATTTTTTCAAAACTTAGAGCTTTATTAGCTAAATCATAAATATTCCATCCCGCCTAATTTTGGCAGCCATTCTCGGCTCGAATGCGGACCGGTTAAGGCGAGCAAACATGAATGGGAAACGGTTAATAAAACTAAATTTCGGGATCCACCCACACAGTCAGTATTCAGCCGTTATAGGGATTCCTGAGTCCTACGATATATCTTTCCCCTTCGGTAATTCAATAGTCCTTGCTAAGAATCGGGAGAGCTGGAACTTTTCAGTCGCCTGTCAGCGCACGAAAGCGGAAAATTAATGACAAGTCGCGTTCACACAAAAAATATACATAAAATTTGCATGTGGCGAATTGACTAGAAATGGAAATTTTCGCAGGATAAATTGAAAAGTTTGTTTCGTATGTATTGCTTTTGCGCTTGAAAAAAAAAATTAAATGATATCCTTAAGCCAAACACGCCTACAACAAAAATAGGGTATGTAATCACTTGCCATTACCTGGATACTGCCATTGCTTCCATCAGTAAAAACAAATGGTGGTTGATGGTTACTTGGTTGATTTACGGTCGATTTATCAACTAAATTTTCTACGATTTAACTAATTCCAGTTTCGTTGCTGCGACAGTTGGTTGCCTGTTGCCAACGGGTTTAGTTAAATCCAGTTTAAATTTCCTTTGGTAAATTAGTTTCCAATTCAACAACTCGATTTTTTAAATTGATTTGTTAGTTAACGTTTCTGCATTTGGCTGCGACGTCTTCACATATTTGTGTTTATGATAAAAAGACAACAAAAATAATATCATTTTCAGGTCATATTTTGTCAACATTATACACTCACAGACAAATATTTCCGTCTCTAGCTCTAGAGATAGCCTGCATCCTCCCAGGAATGCTCCGCAGAAGATCTTTGATGGTTTTTGCGGATCTTGATTCCATTCTTCCTGTGCAGCAAATCTTAATTCTGCAATTGAGTTAAGAGCTGGATTTCGTGTTCGTATATGTCGCTTCAGAGTGTCCCATATATGTTCTATAGGATTAGCATTAGGACTCATAGGTGGCCACTCTAGAGCCTCAATGCCGATAGCCTCAAGGTACTGGATCACCGTCCTAGCGGCATGAGCCCGGGTATTATCATGCATTAGCACAAATCCCAATGAAGCCGATATAAAGCAAAACATGCTCTTCAAGGATATTCCGTATAATTTACAAAATCTTCCTAAGACCTTCTGTATCCTCGACCACGTTCACCTGGCTTCCATGCAATATCTTCTTCTTTGTAACCCTCGTTGGCTAAAGTAGCAATTTTAACAGAAACTAACTCGTTTAAATGTGACATCTCACTAACCAAAACTACCTAAACAAGAAATAAAGCACTAGAAATGTCTTTCGGACCACAACGAACAAAACACAATGATATGTGCGTAATTTGTAACATTATTGCTTATTCGGCTATAAAGGCTATATTTAAACAGTTTTTTATCCGAAATAAATATGTTTAGTTTTAATACACGTCAGTGTAGGGTATCTAGCAATAAGAAACACAAACATTTTTAAAGGAAAAAATTAAACAAAAATAATTACCTACTTAAAATATTCTTAATACGCAATATTTTTGTCTGTGAGTGTATATCATTTATGTATAATTTTGTTTGCAGTGGGTTTGACATATTGCTATTCAGAAATGACGGGCGCGATGGAAAAAGGAGAGGAAATATCGTTGGAAGGCGAGTGCCGGAAGGCTACCTGTGAAAAAAATGGGAGAATCATAATAAGAAAGTAAGAACATTCACAAATTATTCTATGCAGGGTATTTCATAATTAGTATCCAATAATTTACCACTTGATTATATATCAAAAATAAGAATATTTTTTCATATAAACATGGGTCGAGAAATGCATCCTATAGGAGCTACACCCCCTAAATGAGGGCTCAAAAAATTCATTTTTTTTTAATATTTTCGAAATGAGTTAAAAAAAATTATGAATTATGTTTACACATGAACGCTTATTAAAAGTCGACATAGATCATCATCGTCTCAATTGGGGGGGGGGAGATGTCGGCTACAATTTGCCTCCATTTTTTTGTTTATCGAAATTTTCAAATTCAGATGCCAACATATGATAAACCTTCAATTCCTCTACAAAAAAGGCACTCTTTATTTCTGTCGATAAAATGCTCCTTTTCCGAGAAAAACGAATTTAAGCATTTCATTACATTACCTTACGGAGGTTTATCGGGTACGGAGGTACGTCTAAAGTCTAACGAGAGTTTCTGTAGATTCGCTAATGACTAAATTAGTAAGCCTTTACATTTTGGCAACGTTGCACTTGGCTGGCGCGCTCGGCTCGGCGTTCGCTCGTTCCCGTTCGATTATTCTGTTTGTTTGTCACCTGCGAATTTCAAATAATACGCTACGACGTTGCCGCTATCGCGCATATGGAGGATAAGTTAGTCAACGACAGCAGTTTGAAGAAGAATTATTATAAATTATGTATCTTACAAATACCTAATCGATTTCTACGAGCTGTCATACGGTTCTTTAGATATCGGTTTCCTATTTATACAAGTTGCTGTGGAAACTGTTCGTCAATTGTTGCGCATTCCAAGTGGAAAGACCAAAAAAATCTGCATTCTCATAAGATTCTGTACAAAATCGTGAAAAATTATTTTATTAATATCTCGTCTCTTAGGTATCCACACTAGTCATAATTTTGTTTGAGGATTTTCTTCATATTAATAAGCTTATATTATTTTTTTTTATGAATATTTGTTGTCAATTCCAAATCAGATAAACCTCCTTAATAAAATTCAAAAAAATTATGCATTTTGATATATCGTTATATTTTGTAATAAACTACGTGAAAAGTGCTTAGAAAAGTTTGTTATGGATGTCCCAAGCAGGGGGGAAGGGGACTCTGGTAAAATTTACCCCAAATTTTTTACTTTCATTTACGCTTTCATTTAAGTTAAACAAACTGTCAAATAAATCGAAGTGAACAAATTTTTGTTTGCATGACCTGTGCATATTTTCGTAATTCTTACCACACACTTGTTACGTGTTAAACCGATTTTTCTCAAAAACGGACTACTTTTTCTATATAAAACAACATCACCATTTTTTCAAAGAAAACTTAGATCTATCAAATTTTACTGTTTAAATTTGAAAATAGCAACATGTAAAAAATTTAGAGCAAATTTTACTCGAGCCCCTCCCTGCTTGGGACGCCCATGACAAACTTTTCTAAGTACTTTTCACGTTGACTATTATAATGTACCTGTATAATGTTATGATGACATATCAGAATTCATAATTCATGTACAGGGTGATTCACTATATTTTGACCCTTTCCCCCATTAACTTTTTTGTTTTAAGAGTTATAAAAAAATTTAAAATACAAAAATTGCACGATTTTTTATGAATCTTTCGAAAATGACATTTGAAAAACAAATGAAGTCCAAACAAAATGGCCGCGAGTATTAACTTTGTTAATTCAAATGGAACACCCTGTATATTTTTACATATTTGGATAGAACGTTCTCTGTCGAGTATAGCCATATAGGGTTTGTTGGGTCCATCTCTAACAATAAGCGAGATACTATTAAAAAAAAAAAGAAGGTTTTTATTAAGAAAATAATATATATTGTAACTGTTGGTCCTCTTTCAGGCATTTCTGCCTTTTTTCCAATTACGTAAGGATTTACAGATTTAGTTGTAATATATTTTGACATATCGGATTGATATGGTTCAAAATGCGTATAGGTAGTTTAACTAAATCTCACTAATTAGGCCGTGAGAGGCCTATTACTCATGGACAATGTTATATGGTAGGCCGTGACAGTGACAGGTAATGTCATGACAACATTGTTATTGATCGACAGTTTGTATTATGATTTAATTAAAATTGGTTATCTTATTTTCTTAATAAAAAAACATACTTTCCTTTTTTAATATTATCTCGCTTGCTTATTGTTTGAAATGGACCCAACAAACCCTATATGACTATGCTCGACAGGGAACGTTCTATCCAAATATGTAAAAATATACAGGGTGTTCTATTTAAATTAACAAAGTTAACAACATCCGCAGCCATTTTGTTTGGACTTCATTTGTTTTTCAAGTCATTTTCGAAAAATTCATAAAAAATCGTGCAACTTTTGTATTTTACATTTTTTTATAACTCTTAAAACAAAAAAGTTAATGGGGGGTCAAAATATAGTGAATCACCCTGTACTCATTTTAGCTATTCAAGAAAATTTTTTGAATTTTATTGAGCTAATGAAATGCTTAAATCCGTTTTTCTCGGAAATGAAGCATTTCATCGAAAGATATAAAGTTATTTTTTTGTAGCGAAAATGAAGGTCTGTCATATTTTGGCATTTGAATTTGAAAATTTCGGCAAGCAAAAAATAGAAGCAAGGGCAAAGGCACGGTGTCAAAATTGATAATTTTCCTTCAACCCATTTCGGAAATATTAAAAAAAAATGATTTTTTTGAGGCCCCATTTAAGGGGTAGCTCCCTTAGGAAGCATGTTTATATGAAAAAATATTCTAATTTTTGGCAATAGAATCTAGTGGTAAATCATTGGACACTAATTATGAGACACCGTGTATATTTTAATATCATAATTTTTTTTATGGATTTTCTCCATCCTCCAATATCTATTTCAGTTTGCTGCAATATATTCATTTCATTAATGTGAATTTTATTTAATATTTGCTGCTGCAGATTAATTTGATATAACGGAAGCTTGACGTCATTCCCGATTTTAATGAATAATTCAAATCAAATCTGCCAATTCTTTAAATAAAACCTAAAACTGGCGAATGAATTTTATTTATCGAGCTCGCAAAATGGAATCACCTTAACGAAATCAACTCGTCACAGTCTCCCGACGGAGTCGATGAGACATTTTACATCACGCCACCTACCTCCCGAGTACAATTGAGAAATGCAATTATCGAATTGTGCCATCCTTACCGATCACACTGTTTGTTTCAGATGTACCAACATCCCTATCTCTCCTTGTGGGATACTGGCAGCTGACTTCACACGCTCGTTTCCTCTTTGCTGTCCTCAGCCAAGGCCGTGCTCGGCTAACGATTAAAATTTAGTAAAATCGATAACGCTGATATTTCTGGAAATAATAGATGATTCTAGTAAAAGACTTTGTTATTTTACCCTTTTTTAGAATATCGTTTACATTAGGTATACAATTTTCTCCTGAATTTATCATACGCCAACTCTATACTCGTAATATTTTGACAGCATCTTTCAGTAACTAAAGTAGATTCTGTCATTATTTCATAACCAAAATACCAAATCAAATTGATTGTGGCTTATTAGGTATGTCTTTTACGCTGATACAGAGCCTGTAAATGATTACAGGCCACGTGACTAGTAATTTTGTTTAGAACAGCAATTTTATTTCCTTCGTGTTGGCAATTAAATTTCCGTAAAATAAAAAATTATTAAAACAATACGATCAAGATTACAATAAAACACAACATACTGTTTCACCGCCTGTGATTAGTGCAATTTTTTCACTAAATTTCAAACAATCAGTGGTCGCATTATCTCGAGCGTAGGCGTAACAGTTTGTCATTGTTCATTGTAAACGAATTATTAATATTGGTGACGCCAAGATTTAGGAATGTTTCGTTACCAGACGTGCAATGTTGGGTTGCCTAAGCTCAGATGTCACGTGCTTTATAAAGATTTATAAAAGTTCTGTATGAACACAAATAAAAAATTTATCCACATTTGACGGAATGGAACGAAAAAACTCAGTACTTACCTACTCATAAAAAAGAATTTAAACATTCAGCTAGTACATACATTACTAATATCATCAGAAAATGTTATTTTCAAATAAATAATACACCCAAGTGTCTTATTTGGGTAATTCTTGTTAATCTTAGATTACTAATAGGTAATAATTATAATCAAAACATAATATACAGGATGACTCAGAACTTATCCAAAAAAAATGTTGGATGTACAGGGGACTCTTACAAATATAATTTTATAAAGAAAAAATCAAAAAGCGCAATTGATTTAAAAACACACTTCTGAACGGCATTGAAAACTGGTCCACTATAAATTCTGACCTCGCACAATACGACCAGCGGCATGGCGGCAACGTGTGATAAAAAATGGACAAAAACTTTCGCAAGGAAAAACTAAATAGAATTTTATAGCACCTATTTCGCCGTTATTGTTATTATTAATTAATAAAATTAATTTGTGGTATTAAATAATAAAATAATTTGACATACCCAATGTTACATCTGTTTAAAATTATATCCACCGACGTGTAAACACATTTGGGTCCGTCTTACTTAGTGTCTACTAAGGGCCACGTGGTTCTCCACGCGTATTGTGAATGACGCTAGAGACTACAGTTGTCCAGCTATGTAATGGTTGAATGTACTACAACTTCAATAATTTTTTTCTCAGAAATTATAAGGATTTTACATTTTTTTTAAGATATTGACTCCATTTCTCATGTCGCCTCTATTCCCAAATTTTTTTGGATAAATTGTAAATTACGCTGTATTAGATGTTTTAGTGTAGATCACAGCGTGGCATTTGGCTTCCTTTTCAACATTGGGGAAAAGTTGTATGCACTAAGAACACTTGACAAATCCGTGAAATTAAAATTGTTTGAAATATATTTATTTATCAAATTGTTTATTAAATGAAGTGATTATTGCTATATTTTTTTAATATAAAAAGAATAGACAAAAGTTATCAAACAACTAACTTTATAAACAATTACAATTAACAGAATTAATTAGATATATTAGATTGTTTAAAAAGAATATTTGATTACTGTCTGAGGCGAACTACTTGCAATTCATAAATAAAATATTATTTTTAAATTATTATAAATCACCACCAAAACAGCTACCTCAGCGAGTGGGTCATCATCCTTCATTGGTGGCTTCCTTAAATAAAAATAAACCCATTTATTATTTATTTTTTTATTTCAATAAAAATTGGTTTAAGAGGCTTTTTGGAATAGGCGAATATGAACTTTTTTTTCTTACTTAAAACGTAGAGATCGTTTTTTGTCATAATTTTTTGTCCGTACAGATTTCCAGAAAACGGAGATTTATAAAACCCTATTTTATATAGTGTATACAAGATAAGGATGGGATAGCATTAGGATATAGGAAACAGGAAGAGATACGGGGTGGCTCAAATTAGAGAAAAGTTGTGTTTTTTTATACCTAACAATATACCTTTTAGAAAGTTTTAAAATTTCGGATAGTTCCGAAGATATCCGCAAAAACCCGAAATTTTGCAAATTTTTTTTTCTGGTTTTATTTGAAAACGAATTTTAAAATAAATTGCATATTTACATTGCCACTTTTTCCCTCTATCCAATGGCGTTAACATTTTTGCAATCCGACGTTTTGTCTTCGAGGGGCCATCATCAGGTTATTTTTTTAAATACGTCGCTGCTATTTTTATGACAAAATCTAGTCATTTTGAATTATCCATTAGATGTACTGTAATCGCGTAAAAAGGTTTTTAGCTTGTTTTAGCTATCATTTAAAATTTTTGCTGAGTACAGCTCTGAACGCTTTCAAAATATCTATTGGAGAAAGTCATAACAGTATAAAAGTCAATGCAGTACAAAATATCCAACATTTTTTTTACTACTATTAACAATACTAATTAGAAATAATAAAACATTTCATAAATTCGTATTATTTTTTTTTATTAGGTACAACTTTTTTAAATTATCGATTAATTTTGTTTCTGCATTTTCCCAAAAGTTTTTAGAAAATATAGAATATAGACACAATACTATCTCGGATATTATTAGGGATATGTATGCTTTATATGAGAAATAAGCCTGTGTTAATCTTCAGCTATCCTAAAAACTATAATAAATTTCACTGAAATATCTAAAAAATAGTTATTTTAAAAAATGAAATAATTAAAAACTTTTCAAGGGCGAAAAATTATAAAAAAATTGATCTAATTTTTTTTTTTTTTTCATCTAAGAAATACCCTTGATGTATGGCCCACTTAGATTTCTTATGGGAAAGTTTCTGGAAACTGATCAAGCCCGACAAGCAGTTTAATATCAATTCCTTCTTTAGTGCGTAACAACTTTTGAGGTTATTTGACAACATTTTAAACTCTTAACAAAAAATCGATCTGTTTTTGCAGCATTTTATTGAAATGTTCGTCAGTTTATTTCAATCTTGATACGAAGTCAAAGTTCATACAGAGGGCTGAATGTAATTACAGTAACATGTTGAAATATTAATTCTCCTCATGATGCAATTGCATCTTCAGATAAAAATCATTTACAAAAATAAGAAGCAGTAAGGGTCCGAGACAGGATCCATGTGGGACACTAGATATAACATATTCCGACTTGAAATCGCGGATAAACTGTAAAATTTAGTATTTTAATAGTCTAAGCAAATAATCAGAGACACCAATCATATCCAGTGTATTAAACAGAATGGTAAGGTCTTGCCTTCACTCAGCATCTGTGTTGCATCAGATGACAGGAAGATTAGTTGTTGATTTCATGAAACCAAATTGAATTAAGGTAATTTTTGACAAACGTCACTATAAATTATATATTATAAAATAATTTGGAGATCTTGGAAAAGTTGTATATAAAATTATAGTTGTGATCTGAATATGGATGGTCGTGATCATGGATTAGCAGTTATAGTGGGTGAATTATATATTTATATGCTTGTACATTGTTTACCTACTCTATTTTAGAGCGTGTAGAATTTGGCAAGACTAATAAATTTGCTAATAAATGACGTCAAATTTAACTTTGAAGTACGAAGGAATGAAGGAAATAAAGACCATAATGTTATCTCTGTTAATACTAATGTTAACGTAATTGATAGATTGAAATAAATATTTTTTAGATTCTCACCTGCGACTATGATCACTAATTTGTGTGCATATAAATCATAAGTCAAAAAAAAAAAAAAAATTATAATATCTTCCGTCAGTTGTGGATAAAATTGTTATTGTTACTATATTGTTTTATTTTGAATTTGAATTATGATTATTTGTCGCTCTCTGTAGGAAAAAATAGAATATATTTGCTCCAAAGTTTATTTATCAGATCCGTTTTAAGAGGTGCGAACGATTATTCAAAGACATTAATTAAATTTATTCTAAACTTCAGCATCGTAGTATACAAATTTCTTAAATAAATATTTTCACAAAATATATTTTATACAAACTGTAAACGAACGTCTGAAATGAGTGAAAATTAATCAGATATTTGAGTTTATTATACACATCACATTTGTGGGTGATTGGCGGATTTTGGGTTTGATGAGTATTTGATCCTCAAAATGTTCTAATGTCTTCAGGACGGTACAAAATTAAAAAACCCTAAAATAAAAAAAATAGCATAAAATCACAGAGAAAAATATATTTCAAAATTGGTTGATTTTGTAAAAATTTTTGTTTCAGACATTTGAATTGTTGGTTGGTATAAAACTTTAACAGCTTTTTCTTAAAAAATTCAACTATGAAGTGATAGCATAGATGATATGATTTTTTTAAATACTACCTTCAGAGAATAGTTTCCAGTTTGATCATATTTTTCAAACAATTTTTGAAAAGTATTTGACACGTCGTTTTTTAATTTTCGATAGCATTTATCAAATAAGAGGCACAAATTATTTTATTTTGATTTACTGTAGTTTGAGAAGTTTATACAATAAAACTATTTTTTATTATTTAACTGAAGGAAGTTAGAAGAAAGTATTGCGGTTGATCTCGTGAGACAACATAACAATTTCTGAAGCAAACGGGATTCTTCTAGACCAAGACAAGGAACATCGAAAGTCAGATATTCAATCACAGCGGCGACATTAGAAGAAACCGATATTTTTTGTGGATGAAACTTCGTTCATTAATCGCATAGACATGATAAAGATAAAGCCTAGAGTGATAAAACTAACGGAGGCTCGCATCGGCCGATCTAGAAAACACAAAAACTAATAGTATTAAATTGCGATAATAAAAAAGAATTTGTACCCAATGCATACATAGGATTTATATCGAAAATCAAAAATGGAGATACCACAATGACATACTTCGAAGATTTAGGCCAGGAAAAAGAGCTGGGAAATAACCATTTCGCGACTTTTTGTTTCGGAAAGCTGAAATTATCA